TATTACAATGACTATAAAAACGACAGTAAGAACCTCCAAGGGTCCCCTGATGGTCCAGACTGCGGTTAGGGAACCACTGATTTAGAATCTGCAGTTAGCCATGCAGTCTCTCTCCTTGCAGGAGTAGGGTGAGGTGGGTGGGGAAGCAGGACTGCAGAAGGGACATGGCCTGAGACAGACTCCACCTGTCCCAGGTCACCTCTTCCCTGCAGTAGACTCTTGGGCAAGGTTTTGACCTTCTCTTCACCCTTAGTGTCAGAGTTCAGGCTTGAATTGATATCTCCAAACTCTGGTTCTGGTGCTTTCCTGTGTTATTCCCAGCCCTTGATATTCCCTTGTTATTCCCAGCACCTGCTGCAGGCCCTAAGTCCACCCGCCTCCTCCTCCACATCCTGTCTGCTTCTCCCTCCCTTCTGGCCTGGCCTGGTTCTGCCATTAAGATAGGTCCCACTGAGAGGAGAAAGCAAACATTGTACAAAAATGAACAATGATGTAAAATATATATAGATAAATAAATCATTTAAAAAAATAGATTACCAATTCTAACAAAAATCTTAAGATAAAAAAAAAAAAAAAGACAGGTCCCTTTTCTTGCTTCCTCCTGCTTCATTACTTCCTCCAGGCAGTTAAATGCCTTCCTTTCTTGAATTTTCTGCTCTTTCCTCAAATCTTTGCTCATTGTGAATGTGCTCTCTGTCATCCTACAGAGCCTGTTGTCAGTCCATTTGAGCTCTGGTGTGCAAGTCACTATTACGCCCCACCCCAAAATTTGATCTATCACAATACATCTTTGAGTTATTGCAGCTCTAGCGTTTTGACACGATACATTATGGTAATCCATGGCACATAGAGACATTAACACTCCCGACTTTGACAAAATACATTGTGAAGTCTTTGAAGGCACCATTACAATTTATCTTGTCATTCATGAGGAGACCCAGTTCAGCATTTATATAGATGAACACAGTGTGGCTTTTGTTTCCTATAATTGCTTGTGACCTTTTTAATTGGTAATTTAACAAAATACCAAAGGGTTATATTTCAATTAAATTAACAGTTTGGGGAGTGGCATTTTTTAAGTATGTTTATTTTTAAGACATTTTGGGTTCTGACTACCTTTTCCTTTGAGTAGATAAAAATGTCTTCTCTTAATATAAGTGGGATTTTAATGTCAAATTAATAATGTAATAATTTTAATATGCAAATGCTACATGCAAGCATCTTTCATATGCAGTTGGGTTCTCCCCTTTCCAGAAGGACACAAACACTACATGAAACTTGGAGCTTTCCTGGTCTAAAAAATGCTTTTGGTATAATGCTGTGCTTCAGATATTTGTCTTTAGATCAAAATGCCTGTTGCATGCACTGTTTACTGGCCAGTCTCTGCGTCTCTGTCTTATCCTATTTTCTTTATATCCTGTAGTGAGTTTGTAAGCTCCAGAAGACCAGGTACCCTGCCTTAGCCTCACCCTGTCCTCCATTCTAGCTTAGCATCCTGTTGCAGGTTGTGTGGTTAACTGATAGGGACACACAGACATACCCCCTCAGAGCAGAAGCATTCCTGACCTTGCTTTGGGAACAAGCACTGGAACTCCAAGGCCAGACAACCTGCCTTGGGGTGAGCAATAGGGACTGGAGGCTAGTGCAGTACTGCTCCTTTCTCCCCTACTCCACCAGGTGCTGTTACCCTTCTGGGTAACATGTCAGCGGGGGCAAGGCTCAGAACTCACCCAAATATCAGGGACTCAACTGGGATATGAATTTACACTGTCAGAGAGTAGAAGGTCAATGCAAGAAGCATTAGTGTGTTGAGCCAGCTCCAGCTATATAAGTCTTGAACAGAATTAATATAAGGGAATTGACAAGCCTCGCTGGTTATTCCATAGCTTTAAGACCTCTACTAAAATCCTATCATCTCATCTGCCCATTATTAACATTTCAGCAAAATATAAAGTTTTCATTAATCTCCCACAGCAAATTTAGGAGTGAAAACTGGCACTTGTTTGAGCTTTTAGGACTACATTAGCTGGTGTATTAAACAAAATATGTCATTCTTCAGTAGCTTCTGTAAGAAGCTAAATCAATTTCCAGCCATATTTATGCACCACTTTATCTAAAAGCATCTGAATTATCATTTACAGCTAAGATGCTTTATTAGCAGCTGGCATTGAAATTGCCCAGTAAAAATTATATGTCACGTTATAGTAATTTTTAAATTGGTTTTAATCCAACATCATAAAATGTAGAACTCTTAAGTGTGAGGTTTTTCCTTTTTTTCTAATAATTGGCATTTTAGTATAATGAGGTGTTATCTCTCTCTAGATCAAATACCTGAATATTTAGAAAATACTAATTAGTAAAGAAAACAGAAGTTTTGACCTCAGTGGTACCTTACAGTAACATTTTCTCAGAAAAAAAAAATGACTTGAAATGATATTTAAAACTTGAAAGGATTTTAATATTTCACCAGAGTTCTCCACAATTCTCATATATATACAAATACTTCTAAAATAGAAATACATACGTTTTGCCAGTTCTGTTTCAGTAAGGTGTAAACAGATAGATAGATAGATGAAAGAGATTACTGGAAACTCTAAATTCTAGCTAGCTGCTCAATTTGTGGACATGGTCCAGGAGACATTGGTGACCATGATGGTGGCATCTCTGTCCAGAGGCATAAGAAGCAGGGTCACCCACTGGCCCTCGCAGGCCTTAAGTGCAGGTCCGCTCTGTCCTAGTGAGCAGACAGATGTTGGTTAAGTCAGTCAACCTCTCTGAGCCTCGCTTCCCTGTGAACGTAGCACCTGCTGTTCATCCAGCAGATGCTTATTGAGCTCTAGCTTTATCCTGTGGTAGCATTAGCAGAGCCTGGGCTACAGTGGTAAGTCACTCTGCCTGTCCTCTTGCTGTTTACAGCCTAATAGCAGAAACAGGTCAACGCCATCTGTGATAATCATTCTGAAGGAAAGTGCAGGGTGCGGTGATGGAGGAGATGAATTGCACTTGGGGGCCTAGGATCAGGGTCATTTTCTTGGAGTGTCGCTTGATGGGAGGAATAGGGATGAAGTGAAATGAGGACCAGGGTGACCTGGGCTGAGAAAGTTAAGTGCAGATGAGCTCAGGTGGGACTGAGATCACAGGTGTTCAGTGAAGGGCCCACTAAGGGTGAGGCTACATCCCTGTTAGGGGGGAGGCAAGATTGTAGGTACTACAGCCATAGTGTTTGGAAGTTAAATGCACAATTCCTAATAAGTAAGTTCAGAAACCAACTTTGACTTAAAAGCTTGCTGTGTAAAGCAGGAACTCTGGATAGGAAAAGGGTGTAACTGTCAGGCTACCCGTTCTATAACAGAATTTTCCACTTTGGTACATAAATCTGAGGTTTTCCACTCCTCTAGCTCTATTTTACTTGTCACGTCTCACACATACCTTCTTCTGAGGGGTTCTCCCTGGGCTTTCCTGTGTTTATTTCCAGGGGTTCCACACGGGCCTTTGGTCCCCTGCCTGGTTGGCCTCTGCTAGTTCAGTACTCCCTGCGGATGAATGCCTCCAGCAGCTCCACTTTCAGAAGACCACATTTCAAACCCTGGGAAGATTGGCGAGGATAATTTAGTTTCCTTAGTGTGACCTTAGGTGTGTGGCTTGGTCTTCTAAAGCCTCGGAGTCCTCAGGTGTGTAATGGAAAATTATAGGGCCTGCTGGGTTGTCATAGACTTAAATGCGTGTATAAAGGACTTGGCATCCGGCCTGATGTGTGGCAGCACTCATGTAGGGTAGCTGCTATTATATACTTAGCAAAACCTAGAGCACGCCAGTGTCCTGCACTGCTTGCAGAAGAAGATAGAGAGATAAGAAAGAAACTTTTCTGAGCCTCCCAAAGCTTACAGAGTGGGATGAAGCAAGCTCTCAGCAATTCTAGCACAGGACTGCTATAACAGAGGATGAGAGTAGTCATGATGCTCATCGCTAAGCGTGTTATGTGTTAGAGTCTTTAAATACCCTTTAACATTCTGTAGATGACAAAAACTAGGGTTCAGAGAGAAACTCACTTGCCCAAGATCACACAGCAAGCTTCAGGCAGAGACCAGGGCAGCTGGCTGCAGAGTCTGCTGTGGCATTTAGGAGGATATGGCGTCTCAGCTAGCCTGGGTGGGGTTTTGACAGGTCAGCAAAGGGAAGAAGGGGTTCTCTTCCAGCCTTACTCTGAGTAAGGATACCACATGAGCAAAGGCCCCGAAGTAGAAAATCCCCAACCTGTGTGCAATTCGAGGACTTGGGGAGGAGCTGAGAAGAAGGTATGTGTGAGAAGTGACAAGTAAAATAGAAAAATTCTACTTCAGCCAGATTATAGAGAGAATAAAAAAAAAAAGTGTGCCTCATTCAGGAGTTCCAGCAAAGCCAGGGAAGTTTTGAGAACTAGTCTTATTTGTTCCTAGTCTCACATTTTAGAGTACTCGGCTTGCACAAAACTCTCACTAAATACTTGGTGGGTGAATATTCAAAGCTTTCAAAGGATGAATCAAAGTCCTGATTGACTGGATTGATGCCTGGATTGCAGAGGAAGCCTGGTGGGCACCAGCGTGAACCAGTGGCATCTTGAAAAAGACAAGGATTCTTCAAGGATCATGGATTAATTTTACAATCAGGAAAATCATTACTAGAAAAAGAAACAAGATGTGTGACCACCCACACTTTTGTGATTTTGGCTTGCTGTTATGGAGCCTGAGCTGCTGGCAAGCAGGAGTTTTTCTGTCCTTCTGTATTGCACTGTCCAGCCAAAGGCCTGCCATAAGATCGGCAGTGTTTGTGGAATTAATTGTTGAATGATTAATATGTTACCACTCTGTTTACTGGAATGGCATTATTAAGTCATCGCTCAGTCTTTTCTTCTCCAAATTAAATAGCCCATATTATTTTAATTTATCCCAAAGCATTTTAAGCAGACACCATTTGCCAAGCCTCATGTATCTTTATGTGTTAAGTTGCTTTTTCCTCCACAGGTTCAAGGGCAGACGGGGTTTTTGAGGAGGACTCACAAATCGACATAGCTACAGTACAAGATATGCTGAGCAGCCACCATTACAAGTCATTCAAAGTCAGCATGATCCACAGACTCCGATTCACAACCGACGTGCAGTTAGGTAAGTGCTTGAGTGGGTGATGACCCAAACCCTTCGTGGCAATGGTCAGCGTAGAATTAGGGGAGGAAACAACACACGACTTCTGTGTGATCTGAATGACTAACGGTAATTTGTTTTCAGAGAAAATGTTTAAACGATGAAATTTTAAGTACCTCCTTTTTCCCACCTGAGTGCTGTCTTGTCTTTTTTATGAAGCAGAAGATTAGAAATAGAACTTGAGACTCTTTTCAAACTGATTGACTTCTGTGAAGTTCCATAATTCTTTTCATTCTGTAATTCTCTTTCATGCCCCCCTTAGAATTGCTTTGTAACATTGCCACTTGCTTTTTCCTACTCAGTGAATTCATTGCTTATTCACTCATGCCTTTCTTCAGGAAGCTTTTTAATGATCTCATAAGTTATATTTGGATCCTCAGATAATCTGGAACTTTCAACTAATGGTTGGGGTTAATTCGTTTCAATTAAGTGCTCACTATCTGTTTTGACTTAATCCCAACAGGAGTAGAAAAAGTGTTGCAGTGGCCAACGTAATAGCAATATTTCCTCCTCCTCATCATCATCATGGCTGTCATGTATTGGTATCTGCTGTGTATTAGGCACTGAGCTAAGAGTTTACATGCACAGCGTAATTATAGAGGCAGCTAATTTTACTGTCCCCATCTTACAGAGAGGTAAATGAGGTGCAGAGAGGTGAAGTCTCATGTCCAAGCTCACATAGCAGGCAGGTGATGGTTTCAGGAGCAGAACCATGGTCTGGGCAACTCAAGTGCACCTGCTCCCTCAGAAAGAGTGGGTGTGTGGGGCGAAGGAGGAGTAGTTCGGAACCAGGCTTACTCAGTCAAGGCAGTGGACGATGCCCTGTTTTTGCCTCTGCTACACTGCCCCTTCCCTGGCCTCATTTATTTCATGTGAGTGAAAAGAATATTTGAATTCTAACTCTAAGCCCCACAGATGTTTTTTATTTGTCTCATTTTTCTAAAGTTAGCATTAGTATGACTAATTTGTAATAAGTCTCAAAAATCTCAAATATTCCTTCCCAAGTTGATCAATGGCGCTTGAAATATGCTGACACTGCAGAGATTAAGAGACGAGTGTGGCAATCACCGGGGGTTTAAATCATGACTCTATCCATAGCCAGCCACATGAGACCAGTGACTTCCTCTCAGCTCTGAGCCTCAGTTCTGTTCTGGTTTGATGGGAATAGCCTCCTGACTTGTGGGGAGCAAGTCAGGCATGCCACATAAAGCACATAGCTCAGGGCCTGGTGGCTGGGATGCTGTGTAAGCGGAAGCTGCTATTGGAGCTGCCCAGGAGAGCCTGAAATGCAGGCTTAGGACTGAGTGGCCTGGACTCAAACCCCACTCATTCGTTAATCAGCTGCAGCACCAGAGACAGAGCCTCCATTTTTTTGTGTGTGTGTGTGTGGTTTTTTTTTTTTTTTTTAGATTTTTTTTTTTATGCATACAAGACCTGTGGTACAGGCCAGAGGTGCAAGGGGTGAGAGGATTCACCAGAGACAGAGTGGGAACAGAACAGGTGGATCTAATGAAATACACTGCTGAGGGGAGCAGTGGGCAAGACAGGAGAGGTCTGCTGTGCCATGTGGGTAGCTTCCTGGCCGGCCAGAGATCAAACTCGTGCTGCAGAAGCTGTGGACAGCTTCACAGTGCTGTGTTCAACCCCTTGCACCACCAGGGAGGCCCAGAGCCCCTGTTTTTTTATTGTAAAGTGAGATAATAATTCCTGTTACACAGGTGAAGCATCACAGCATACGCAGAATACTTAGAAAGGCACCTGGCACATAGCAAGGGATCACTGAGCACCAGCTGCTAACATGCTGGTGACTCTTCACAAACTAAGTAGGTGACTTGAATCAGTGTTGATTCTTAAAACAAAGTTATTCAGTAATGTTCTTCCTGGGGATGCTTTCCATGGTATCTCTCAAAAGAAATAAAAGTAGTCGGCTGCTCAAAAAGAAGTCAGTCACAAAAAGAATAGGGTTATATTTACCCAATCATTACAGCATGACTAACTTATAAAATGTTCAAAAATACAGGAAAATATTTACCATGGAAGAAGCAATGATTGTGGTGATCTTGGGGGTGAGGCCGTACTGACCAGAGTGTGGTCTGGGATTCTGGTCTGATTCTGTTCCTTGACCTGGGTGCTGATTACATTGAATATGTACATACTTTGTTGAAAAGTCAAGTAACATATCCTCTTACACTTGTGCACTCTGTGTATTTTCAGTGAACAGTTGCTAAAATAAGAATGTTGCTCAGATGTCCAGTTTGTCTGCTGCAGTACTTTCTGTAACAGAGGGTCTGCTTTTTAAGAGTCTAGTTTTAAGAAGCCCAATTCAGTAACCCGATGTGGCTAAACCAGAGGACCCCCAGGTAGAAGGTGGGGATTTTCCCAGGTGAGCATCAGAAAATCCATCCTGCTTGTTCCCCTAGATGAAAAGCAGCACGTCAGTAAGAGAACCACGAAGGGTCATCGGACTCTGACCTGCATGTTCATTCAAAAGAAAAAGCTCACAGAGGAATCTGTGGAAAGATGCGCTATAGGCAGGACTGGGTTCAAGTCCCAGCTTTGGCACTTGCCTGTAGTGTCACCTTAGACAAGTCCCTTCCCTTTCTTTCACTTGTTTTTTTTCATGTATAAATGGGAATTATGTTTACCTTTCACAATTGTATCATAGTGTCTGGCTCATAGAAGCTGTATTTTGAATGGTAACTTATGTTATCTTTGTCATTATTATTTATTTTGCCTCTTGTTTTCCCTCTAGTCTCCCATCTTGAAAGTAACCAGATCACTCAGATGAGATACTGGCTCTATTGACAAAGTTTCACTTGTAGCCACAGTGGAGATTTGTCAGGTAGAAATGGATGGTGACAGTGATGAAGGTATCTCTCCCCAGAGCAGTGTTCCTCAGAAGGGAGGTGTCTGGAGGGTCCCAGTTACCTCTGGATGCTGCCAGTGACACACATGGTGCCCTCTGGTGGAGAGTCCCAGCTCTGAGGCGCTTCTCAAACAGTTGGATATTGTCAGAACATTTATTCCTATTAAGAATCTAAATCAGTCTTTAGCGTTTTAAGCAGAAACCTTATTAATTAGTCATGTGTGAATTGTGTGACAGTCAAAAACCTGCACCCAGGAGTGCCATGTCAAGCAGTGAGTAAGTAGCTCATTCCCTAGTACATGTAGACGAGTTCCCATTTGTAACTTAAGACCCTCTACCCATCCTTGCAAAGCAGGTAACACCCTTTTACAAAGCAGTAACAAAAATCTGCACAGAGCCATCCAGAAATTCTTTCTGAAACAATCTCCCACAAAGGGTAGGGCAGCGAGCATTCGGCTTTATGAGCATTCAGCTGAGCAGCTGGATTCTGAGATCAGTAAATAATTTATTTTATTTCAGCTGACTAGCCAGGTGCTTGAGATCTTTTCTGACACTGATGGATGATCTCCTCTACTCGTCCGTCCTGTGTCAGTCAGGGCAGAGATTTCACTTGCCCCCTGTGGCAAGTTCTTCTAAGTGGGAAGTGTCTGTGGGTGGCATTTACCCAGAGCCCTGCTGATTCCACAAAACCGCCCATCCACTCTGAGACAGTGGCACGTCAGAGCAGGCCGAGGAGGCGCCGCCTACCCAAGCTCACAGCTGCTTGTCTGCGGATGGAGTCACCGTGGCCAGTGCTCCAGTTTTACCATCTGCTATTTGTTTCTGAGACAGTCAGGGAATAGAGACTCGAACTTTGATGTGCAACCCAAACTTAAACCTCTTTTCCACCAGACTTTTCTGTGATCAAAACACTTTTATAGACTCCATTGAGGAAACTGATGGCCAAGACCTCTTCTTTTGAAGTAATACTAACAAGATGAGTTTACGTTTTAGAAGCAGTTTTATTTCTTCAGGCTCTTGCTATGTACCAACACTTTGCTGATTATGCTTTTACATGCATTGGCTCCTGTAATCACAGCACTATTATTAGCTAATACTGATATTATCTCCATTTTTTGTGTGAAGAACCTGGGGTAGAGAGGAAAATCTAGTGTGTGATGAAGCCGGGATCAGAATCTAACACTGTCTGAGGTTGAGTTCTGTGACACATCACTATAGCGTACCTTGCGTGCCAATCATCATTGCACCGTACTCTCTCACTCTGTAATAATTTAAAGCAGACAATGAACTTTCACCCCTATTAAAAACTTTTTTAATCCACACACTACATTGATGTTGTTACTCCCATTTCATGACTGAGAAAACTGAGGCTTGGAGGAGTTCATGAAGTCATAAGATATATGCAAAGCACTTAGTGTTTACTGGCACAGAGCTATTATTTAATAAGAGAAAACACTTTCCCTCCCCCTCAGCCATCAGGATATACAGTGGGATATCCAGTCCCTGTAGCAGAACTGGACTGAAACCTGATCTCATATGCCAAACCCAATCCATCATGCCACAGATGCCCCAGTCATTAATAATTTGCCTTCACAAAGGAACTGATTATTTCTGGTTGGCCAGCTCCAAAAATTCCACACTTCTTCACTTTCCTCCCTATCCCAAAATGTGGAGACCAGTGTCTGTAGCATGTGCGCTGCTGTTCCATCCTCTGTTCATGAGGTTACAGCCTGCACACCTGGCCTCTGGGCCCAGATTGACTTCACAATCCTTTCCAGCGCAGCCCTATAAGTAACCCTAGAAGTGAAGTTGAATCTTAAGTTGAAATCTATTTGCCATCCCTGCTCTACCAGACAAAGCGGTGATGCCTCGCCATCCTTGTGCTTCTCGCAGACATGTTTGGACTATCCCCCTCTTGTCTGTTTCACCTCTCTGTAGCTGCTGGTACGTACAGACCTTTTTGCTTAAGCTTATGTCATCCAAACTGAGCTTATTTCCAGTCACCTGATCTCCCGATGCCTGACCCTGTGTATGTGACCATAGATCAGGTACTCAGACCCAGGGCTACTATCAAATATGCCAAAGCTGGCAGGGTGTG